AAAAGTGGATTAAAAGAAAGTCTGAGGGGCCGGCCCCATGGCTGAGTGGTTAAGTTTGCGTGCTCCACTTGGGCGGCCCAGGTTTTTCCCAATTCGGATCCTGGGTGCGGACATGGCACTGCTCGTCAAGCCATGCTGAGGCAGTGTCCCACATGCCACAACTAGAAGGACCCACAACTAAAAATACACAACTATGCACCCGGGGCTTTGGGGAGAAAAAGGAAAAATAAAATAAATAAATAAATCTTTAAAAGAAAGTCTGAGGAAGATATTGGGATTCATGTGTTTCTGTGCAAGACAGTAAAAAAGAAGAGGAACGTATGATGTATATTCCATCCCAAAGAGAGTGGAGAAAAGCAAGTTACACTGTTCTCAGATCACTTCCCGCAGCCTTTTTTTTTTTTTTCTGCGTTTTTCTCCCCAAATCCCCCCAGTATGTAGTTGTATATTTTAGTTGTAGGTCCTTCTAGTTGTGGCACATGGGACGCTGCCTCAGCATGGCTTGATGAGCAGTGCCATGTCCATGCCCAGGATCCTAACTGGCGAAACCCTGGACCAACGAAGCAGAGTACGCAAACTTAACCCCTTGGCCACGGGGCCGGCCCCACGTCCAGCAGCCTTTTTGTCCAGAGGGCTTGGTGGCCCCAGAGAGTGCTGGCAATCAGTCGTTTTTATGTTTGAGTCTGTGGAACTTGGGGAACCCTTCTGCAGGTTGACCCATCATTTCTGAGTATCTAAAGCAATCATTTCACATAGGGGAGATGTCTGGGGCTCAGAACCAAGCTACCCCACCGCCCATCCCCCAAATTGGGCTGAGACCATCTGCCCACTTTTGGTAACTGGATCCATCTCCTAGTGACCTATCAGGTCACTTATAATCCTGCCTGCTCTTACCAAGCTCTTCCTACAGCCAAGCTCATGTTGTTGGATCCCAGGCCCTGCTCTCTGCTCCTGGTCCTAGAGTCAGGCAGAAAGAACACTGCATCAAGAATTCAAACGCTGGAGACCAATTCGCCCCTCTAGCTGGGTTTCAGCACTCCGTTGGTACATCTTCTTGGGCAAGTTATTTAACTTCTCTGGGTCTCAGTTTCCACATCTATAAACGAAGATCACATTACATATTTCTCAGTGTCAGTATGAGGAGTGATGTTACTATGAGGACTGAATGAGACAACATATCTCAGAAACAGTGCCTGGCACATAATAATGGGTGTGCAATAAAAGCTGGCCGTTATCCTGATGATTCAAGAAGAAGGCCTTGTGTTACAAACATGGGGTTTCCTCCTTAGCTATGCCGTACTAAGGATGTTACTAAAGGAGAGCCAAAGCTTTCCCATTCTAAAACATCCGAGCAGCAGAAGTGGATTTATCAAGAAGCTCCTGAAAAGTAAATTTTAGCTTTCACGCTCTTTATCTGCCTGGGCCCCATCCAGGGCCTGGGGACAGCTCTAGCAATGTGCTCACATGATTGTATATTTTTGTAAAGTGCATAAAAGGTGATTGTGCAATCTTTTTCTTAAGAAGGACCACCCAAATTGTCTAAGCTTTGGGCCTCACCAAGTCTGGCTCCTCCTGATATCCAAGTCATTACATCTCTGGAGCCACCATTACATGGAGAAATGGGGGCTGACAGTAGACAGATTGACCAATAGATATAGACTTATCAATATGATCATATACATCAAAAAGGCTAATTTAAAACACTAGGTTTGGGGGCCGGCCCCTTGGCCGAGTGGTTAAGTTCCCGCACTCTGCTTTGGCGGCCCAGGGTTTCGAATCCTGGGCACGGACATGGCGCCAATGGTCAGGCCATGCTGAGGCGGCGTTCCACATGCCACAACTGGAAGGGCCCACAACTAAAAATACATGACTACGTACTGGGGGGCTTTGGGAGAAAAAGGAAAAATAAAAAAAAATCTTAAAAAAAACCACTAGGTTTTTCATTCACTTAGATGAGCCACCTTTAGTCTAAAATAAAGAATATAAATTTTCTTCTGATCTGTCTTTGGAGTTGTATTAATGCTTGCATACTACCCTTAAAATGGAGCTGTCTCACCAAAAAATGCTTCCTTCATGTTGCTGTTTAATCAAATTTCACAATATCCTGTTATTTTTGCAGATCAGTTGTTGTGCAGGATGTTTTGGCCCCAGGCTATGCTGCCTCCTCTGTTCATGCTGGTGGCTTTTTGTGGCCTTGCCCTGTACCTGGAGCCCACTGGCTTCCACCGCTGAGCCCACTAAGCTCTGCAGAAATTGCATCCCACAGCTCAGCAAAACCCATTTCACTATGAATTTAAAATAACCTTGGGGGCCGGGCCCGTGGCGGAGTGGTTGAGTTCACACGCTCTGCTTCAGTGGCCCAGGGTTTCGCTGGTTTGGATCCTGGGCACATACATGGCACCGCTCATCAAGCCATGCTGTGGCGGCGTCCTGCATGCCACAGCTGGAAGGACCCACAAGTAAAAAATACACAACTAGGTACCAGGGGCCTTTGGGAGAAAAAGGAAAAAAACAAAATCTTTAAAAAAGTAAAAAATAAAATAACCTCTATAGGTGGTTTTCACATTTTTTTCAGTGAGGAAAAAAATGCCAAAACAGAAAAGAATCAAATGCAACAGCCAATTTACAAAAACATTGGTTCCTAATAGAGCATTTGGTAGAACAAGTCATTGCTGCTTAGAGCCAAATAAGATGCCACCCCAGTCACCAAGGTGCCCAAATGCCTCTGCAGATGCCTCAGTGATTCTAGGTGACCCTCTCAGTACACCTAACACCCCCCTCAGTCTCCAGCCATTGAGAGGAACCCAGGCTGGGGATGGAGAGCAGGCTACCATCACTGTGTTCGGATCACACCTACTGGGGCCTGAGGGCAGACACAGGAGAGAACAGAGATGGCATCACAAGGGAGATCATTCTGGTTTCTTCTGCTGGCTTCAGGTCAGGTGTTACCAATGCCCAGGCCGCTGCCAGCTCATAATAACGAGGGCATACAGACAAGACTGCGTCTCCAACTGAGGGAGGTGTCAGCTCTCCTTTCTGAAAAGCGCTGTACTTTATTCTGATACCATGTTCTTGCAACTATTTATAGAAGGGTAAAATAGCCTTTCCTTTGTTTTCTGTAATGAAAATGATTATTTTATTTTCTGATTAAAAATAATATATGCTCATTTTAAAGGATTTGAATGATACCTCAAAAACATATATTCAAAAAAAAGAAAAAAAGACACACGAAGTCCCACCACCTTGAGAGAACCACCACTAACATTTTAGTAACCATCTTTCCATGTACACACACACACTAGATACATAGATACATGTACAGACAAATATAGATAGACAGATATAGATATACATGGATACTTGGGAGTACAAGTTACATGTGGTTTTATCACAGACATTTTCTCTCTCCCTCTCACTCCTCCCCACCCACCCCCTTCATCCTCTGCCCTCCAGATAACCATATTAAGAATATGTTGTGATTGTAGATATGGAGTCTTAAAGGATAAATAGGAGTTCGGGAGCAAAGGAGGGGAGGTGACAGGCAGTCCAGACAAGGACAACAGCACATGCAAAGGCAATGAAGCAAGAGCACTGTGTGCAGTGCATACAAATCACCTGGGGATCTGGTTGAAATGCAGATTCTGAATCAGCAGATCCAGGATGATGCCTGAGATTCTGCATTTCTCACAAGCTTTCAGGTGATGTCCATGCAGCTGGACCACACTTTGTGGTCTAAACTGCTGTGCTGTCAATAAGTATCTACCAGCTGTGTAGGACTATTTAAATTTAAATTAGGTAAAAGTAAATACAATTTAAAAATCAGTTCCTCTGTTGTCCTAGTCACATTTCAAGTAGCCAGTAGTCACATGCGGCTACCATATTCCATCATTGCAGAGAGCTGTGTTGAACAGTGCTGGACAGAGCATTCATGGCACTGCAAATAGTTCAGCATGGCTGGATCATAATAGGGATGTGAGGGGGCAGGGGGGAGGCAACAAGATAGGGGATCTGTCTTGTTCCTGGTGGCAGTGAAGAGCCATTTAAGGATTTCCAATGGAGATGACAACCGTGTGGAGGATATATTAGGGGACGGAAGACTGGAGGCGGGGGCTAAGTAGAGGCTGCTGCAGTGGACCAGAAAGTAGATGATGTGAGCCAGAACTGAAGTACAGATGGGGTGGAAAGAAGAGGGAAGATTCACAGGATGGTCAATAGGAACAACTGACTGAATAAAAGGAGGTGAGGAAACAGAAGGCTGAGAATGGGAAGTGGAGGCAGAGAGAGGACATCATTTGGGCTGAGTCTTGGACAACTCGGCTCAGGAACTGTTATTCATCAAGGCAGAGGACACAAAAAAGTGTGGAGTTGGAAGAAGGGAATGGACTCTGTTTGGGACAAGCTGATTTTGCCATGTCTCTGGGTCATCCAGATGAGGACAAGCCTGTGGCGATATGGTACCTGAAGCCTGGGAGAGTGGTCTAGGCTGAAGGATCATCTGCATGGGAGGCGGGGTGGGGTGGAGGAAAGCAGACAGGCTGGGAGTCCAGGATTGGAATCCTAGCCCTGCCATGAGTGGTATAGTTTGGGAAAGTCACTCAGCCTTTCTTGGTCTGTTTATAATCTTTAAAGTGATGATAATGTTATTTTTATGTAAAGAACTAAATACTATGACTGGTTGATAAGTGCTCATTCAATGTTACTAATAATATTCTCATTATCTCCCCTGAAGAACTGTTTTATGAATTAGAGATAATGTGTGAAGTTTTCCGATACTGAAGTTGGTCAGCAAGAGTGTTCAGAGTAAAAAGGGAAGAGAGTTGAGAAAGAATTGTTGCCAGAACTAACTTGAAGGGTAGGACAGAGAGTAAGAAGGAAGGGCCACAGATGGAGGAGGAAAACCAGGGAGGAGTGGAGATTCAGAAACCAGAGGGAAGGAGGAATCAAGGAGGGAGTGGTCAGTTCTGTCAAATGTCACAGAGAGGCTGGGTAAGATAAGGACCATGGATATGGTCACAAGGAAGCCACTAGTGACCTTGGAGGGCACAGTATCAGGGAAATAGGGCACCTATGCTGAGCTGAGGGGTGAACAGAGCAGAGGCAATGGAGACCTGTATACACATAGTATTTTCTGAAGGTTTGTTAGGAAGGGGGAGAGTGTGGTATCTGGGGACTAGGGGACATTTGATGGAAGGAAGGCTTACTCAGGTTGAGAGAAAGAGAGAGTATATACACACAGAGAAGCTAAAAGCCAGAGGGAGGAAGTGAGGGAAGAGATAGACAGAAAAAATATATAAATGAAAAGCTTGGGAGCTCTCCTGCCCAACAGGACTGTGAACAGGTCTCCTGTGCCTTCCTACCTGGATCCCTGTTCCTCTACGTCAAAGTGAATTCTCTCAAATTGGACAGACTAATTTCTCTCGAACAATCAGGCCCGGTAATAAAGCCAATTGATTCCATTTCCTTTAAACTGAATTACAAGCATTTTTAATACCAAATAGAAATTATCTTGAACTTAACTCAAAAGCAGTTATACAGTGAGTTTATTTTGCTCCATCACCTCTGTATTTAATTTTAATATATATATATATATATATGTTTAAAGTTGAGAAGACATTTCTCCTCTAAGCCAAAGGAATGGTTTTACCATTTCAAATGAACGGCAGTTGCCATCTCCATTGAATTGAGATATTTGGCCAGAGGTGTGAAGCCCCCAGATTGAGCTGGATTTCTCCTGAGTTGAAGTTAAACACTATTATAATTCTTTCATAACCTCTTTCCATTTTTATCACCTGATTTGGGAGGAAGAGATGCTGCACAACTGTTCTCAACCCACAGTAGGTTTCCACTTAATCCTAAGATATACTTCTCTCTTCTGAGAGTCTTCCCATGTAACTTGTCCATGTTCATTGACATAGTTAACGGAAAAGTAATACTCTCAGCTATCAAAAGGGGCTATAAAAGAAATGGATTTAAAGCTAGAGATACGTTTGGAAGACTCTGAATCAGACCGGTGAACGGACAGCAAACTGGTGCTCCCTCTGTCACTTTAACCCATTTTACCATCATCTTATGAATATCTGTAAAGCAGCAGCTGACTGCTAGGTTTTATTGATAACTTTTATTCCATTTCTTCTCATCACCAAAACCAACTTAATCACATCCTAAACCATGCCCTACATAAGATCCTACGATTCCCCTGTTAAAACGGCTGGAACAGCTTTCCGTCCTTCTTAGCATTAAATACAAACTCCACCAGGGCCTCCTTCACTGATGGTATGGCCCAGAGCGCCCCTCATCTCAGGCTGCCCTGCTCCTACCTTCCTAAGTTCCATTTACACTTTTGGGTCCTTAAACAAGTCAAGCGCTTTCGTGTTCCACCTCTGGGCTCTACCGCAAGCTGTTCTTTGTGCTGAGGACCCCCAACCGCACCCGAGATGCCTGTCTTGATCAGCTAGTGAAATGAAGGCTGTTTGTCTGTCTCCCTTCCCTCCCTCACCGGGGTAGAGGCAGCGTAGGACGTATAGTGTTTTGAGGGAACGCTGGGTTGAAATCCCGGATCCACCACTTGCTAGCTGCCCTGTGACCTGGAAAAGTTACTCAACGTGTCTGTTTCCCCACTTACAACATCGGGATGATAAAAGATATTTTGAGGATTAAATTTGTTAACAGATGGTAAACTCTTAGAACAGTAATATAAGTTCTCGTTTTAGCATATACTCCCATTTTATTCCACTTACTTGTTTGCCAAGTTTGAGCAGTCACCTAGGGAAGGATTGTGCCCCCCACCCCCGGGCTGATTACGGTCTCCTTATTGAACACGTTAAAAGAATGAAGAGAGCACGAGGAAGAGGCTGGTCCTCCTGATTTAGGAGGGGCCGTGGGTGAGCTTTTTGAAAGACACATGGTCCTGGCTTTTTCTTACCCTTAGGTTTAGCAGGACAGGCTCTAAACAGATAACGGACTAGCATAGTGGTAAAAAAGGGAGTCTCTGTGTCATGGCCTGGCCCTGGGGTAACGGCTGGGGCCTCCCCAGGAGAGTCCCGGGGAAGGCACATTGTCCTCACAGAACCAGATCAACGGGGATCTAGGCCTGGGAGGGGCCAGGACTCCCGGAGGTTCCAGGAAGGATGCTCCGCGCAGGTTTGAGTGTCTTCCCGCCACAGAAAGAGCCAGAAGCACCGGGGCAGGCCGAGGACCGCGGGCACCAATAGCCGGCCGTCCCGCCCCCGTCCGTCCCTCCCCGGGGATTGGCTGCCCGGCCCGCGGCCCTCCTCCCGGTCCGCGCCGCCTCCCCGGTCTCCGCGCCGCGCGCCCGGCGCCGGCCTCTTAGTCTCGCTGACTGGGGCGGTGAGTGGCTCGGGGTTCCGGCTCCTCGTGGCGGGTGGGTACCCGGCCGGTCCGGGTGGGGCTGGGCTCGCCCCGCGTCCCCTCGAGCTTTGCCCGCCCGGAGCTCCGCTGCTCCCGGCGGCCAGGACGGAGGGGTAGAGCAGCCCTCGGCGGTCCGGGGGGCGGGCGGCCGTGCCCGTCCCAAGGCCGCGCGAGGCACAGACGCCGCGGGGCGCCGTCCGGAGGAGGCTTCCCGGCTGGCAGCCCCGGGCGCGGTAACAGCCTTGCGCTTTGCTTCCCCAGGGCGCAGCCGCGGCTACTTGGTAGCGGGTTCGGGGCCCGGCCGCGCCTGCGGCGGCGAGAGCCATTCTGGACCGACCTCGGGCCTGCGGAGGTTGTGTGCGGCGTCTGCGGGGTGCAGCGGCCTCAGTTCTGAGCGCAGGTAGGTCCCGGTCCTTGTGCGAAGTGAAGTGGCCCAGGCCCCGAGCACGTGGCCAGTGGCGACCGGAGGGTGCCCGGGCGCGTGATTGCGGCAGGGGCCTGAATCCGGCTCTGCCTTAACGTGGAGGAAATTTACGTTCACGGGCTCCACCAGCACAACAGCTGCTTCTAGTGGGTTGTCAGAATTGTTAAAGAAACTGCTGAGATCCATGGGATACTGACCAAGCAGGAGCGCAGGAAACCGTGGGGAACCCTGTAAAAACCCACATGGCCCTTTCCTGTGCCCTTTTAAGGTTGACGCAGTGCCTTAAGAGGCTAACACAGAAGGGCAAAGTAAGTCTCCATAAAACCCTGAGAGGAGATTGTCAGACTCCTCTTTGGATCCTGTCTGGAGTCACAGCTGAACCACAAGAAAATTCCTTCCAGTTAAGCACCTTTGTGATATTTTTATACAGTTAATAGCAAAGTGATCGATTTAAACTTAACCTTAGCTTCGATGGTACATTCAAGCACGCTTTTTAAACTCCTATGGGGATACCGTATACTGTTTTCAAATAGAGAAGGGAATTTGGATACTTTGTCTTTTTTCTATCTGCTTAAAAGTTACTTAAAACTTTTCTTTCTTTTTATAGGTTGAAAACTACAGGTACGGCCATTGAAGCTGGAATGCTCTGGTACTGGTATTTTCACTGACTTAGACCAACTATTGCTGTACAGTTTACAATACACAGGGGTCTCTGAAATTGTCAGATATTCTTAGATAACTTGTAGCAGCCATGTGTCCATGTAGTCACTGGGGTTAGAGCAGTAGGACAATGCTGGTGGTGAGAGGGCCGTGTAGCAGAAGCTTTATTTTGTTCTTTTAATTCTCACAACTCTATGAAGTTGATACTATTTTCTCATTTTACAGATGAAGCAACAGGTCAGATAGTGACTCAAGGTCCTATCACATATGCATAGCTCTGAACAAGGAGCCTCATAGGTAACTGTCTGGCTGTATGACCTCTGAAAAATCACTTATCTTTCTTGGGATTTAGTGTCCTTGGGATTAGACCAGTTTTGGAGGGAAACACCACAGTAGAGCTATTAAGAATATAAGCTTTTCATAATATTTAGTTATGTTACACCTCCAGAAGTTACCCAAAATTTGGCATAAAGGGAGCATCTGTCAGCATGTTAGGTGTTTTTGATGAATGTAGCATAATGAGCTGTAAAAGGATTTAAAGAACACAATGGTGCTAGGTTAGAATGTGAAGGTTTTGGAGGTGATGGGGAAAGTTTCCATGTGGGAAGAAATGTAATAGTGTAGCAAGATGAACAACCCAGTATGTGCTAGAAGGAGTTCTTCCTGTTGACCAGCTCTGAATGTCTGCAAATACCTCATTTTCCAGAAGTCTTAAATAAAGATATTTAATATTCACCTTGGAGTCATAATGCTTATTTCATAACATTTTTCTAGCTAAACTTCATTTCCTTTTTTTTCTATTTTTCTAATTATTTTTCTATTTTTTATTTTTCTATTCTATGTTTGTTGAGGAAGATTTGCCCTGAGCTAACATCTGTGCCAGTTGTCCTCTATTTTTTTATGTAGGTCACCACCACAGCATGACTGATGAGTGATGTAGGGCCATGCCCAGGATCCAAACCCATGAACCTGGGCTGCTGAAGCAGAGTGCACCAAACTTAACCACTTTGCCACACGGCCAGCCCCTAAACTTCATTTCTTTTATATTCCATATTGTACTGTAAAATCCAGCCTCATAACTTTAGGTAATTTAATTAATACGTTAGAAGGCCATAATTGTGAGGGGTGGGGGAAAGGATGGGAAACAGGAAGTAGTGCATGTATGTGGACTTAGAATTTCAGATAGGACTGGCCAGGGAAGGACTGAGCACAGAAGACATGAAGGAGATGCCATGGTTACATAGATGGGTGAAGAGCGTTTCAGGCAGAGGGAGAGCAAGTGCTAATGCCCTGAGGAGGGATGTGTTTAAAGGTTTAGGGAAAGGCTAAGTGAAACCTTAGAGTGAGCGTTTCATGACAGCTTGTATGCAGGGCTAAAGTGGATGTTCAGACCGTTCTAAAATGTCAAGTTGCCTTCTGGCCTCTCAGACTGCTGAATGCTCTAATTTTACCTCGAATGCTCCCTACCACCCATATGCTTCCCACTCCTACCCAACTTTCCTGTGACCTTATGGCCCCCCGCCATAAGTGCTCCTGTCCTGGATTTCTATGGCACCCTGTGATGGCCTTATACTTAGAAGTACATGTGCAGTTGCTTGTATACTTGTCTGACTGCCCCTGCCCCTACATTCTGCAACCTCTGGACTGTTACAGGTAGAGTCCATCTTGGTTCCCACCATATTCCTAGGGTCTAGTTGAGTGCCTGGCATGTTATAGGTCCTCAAATACTTAACTTAGCCCCAAACCCATCATGACTGTAGTATAAGGAGCAGTATCATTTATAATTAAGCTTAATATCAATAACTGGTAGTGAGTTGAATTATATTTGACATTCAGGTGAGTGGCTTACAGCTACCTGTTCTTAGCAGCATAGTATTAAAAGCCTAGGTTAAATCCCCTCCCTTCTTTATCTGTAAACTGGTATTCATAGTTATTAAAGTTGAGTTTATACATGGTACATCCAACTACCTGGTGAGTAGTAAGCACTCAGTAAATGCCATATTCATTGGTAGTACCATAGGATCATTTTTATAATATTGTATGATCATTGTAATATTATAACAAAATGACAATACTGGTATTTAGTGTTTATATACTAGCAAAATGCTGGCTTTAGTGTCCATCCAATAAGCAATAGAGCACCTCCTATGGGCCAGGTACTATTCTAGGTATTGTGAACACCTCAGTGAACACAGCAGACAAAAATCAGTGGATATGGTTGCAGTCGGTCCATTGATCAAGGCCTCCCGTGTAAGGGCCCCAGAGTCCTCCTTAGCAGAGTGCTGCGACTAGTCGGCAATGGGGCGGGGAGGGGTAATGAGGGGCAAAAGGCCTGTATGAGCTGCCGTCCAATGCTGAGTAGGTGAAGGGGAAGAAGAATGGAGAGGAAACAGGCCTGACGCCTCAACAGCCTCAACAGCCTATAGTAAGTGTCCCGGCAGAACAAGGAGCGCATAAGATGCCACATCAGCAGTGCTCCTGTGCAACTGAAAACAGGCCATGAGGATGACAGTGTTTTCCAGTTACTGTCAAGATGAAAGATGTGAAACTACAAGTGTGAAAGTCTGGCTGAAGACACTAGCAAATAGTTTCCAGGAGTAACCACTGGTTTCACAGGTAGCTCCATTCCACTGAGTCCTAGAGGAGGTTCTTTGCCCCTTGAGGCGTCTGCCACAGATCCTCCTCCCGCTACCCGACTTCAGGACTTGAAGTGCAGCCTGTTTACACCTTGGTTTTCCAGATGATTTTTTTTGGTAAAAAGGATTTTGGCTAAAAAGTTTGAAGTCCACTAGACTAAATGATAGATGAAAGATGTGAGCAGTTTTATACACAGAGGGTGGGAAAAACAAGGATTTTTTTTTTTAAAAGATGCTTCAAAATCCAGTATTTAGAACTACAGAGATACCAGAACCACATTGTCTAATATGACACATGTGGCTATTTAAATTTAAATCAAAACTAAATAAAATTAAAGTTTCAGCTCCTCAGTTGCATCAGCCACGTTTCAAGTGCTCAATAGCCACGTGGGGCTGGGGGCTACTCTACACATTTCCATTACTGCTGAGAGTTCTTATTGGCAGTACTGTTCTAGAGATTATTTGGTACAACCACCTTGTTTTACAGAAGAAAAACCTGTCAAAACCTAGAGAGATGGTGTAGCAGGCTGAATAACGGCCCCCAAGAATATCAGGTCCTAATCTTGAACTTGTCAACGTTACCTCATTGGAAAAAGACGGGGTTAGGCTAAGGATCTTGAGATGGAGCGATTATCCTGGATAGCCTCTGTGGGCCCTAAACCCAACCACAGGTGCCTTTATAAGAGGGAGGCAGAAGGCGATTCCGTGCACAAAGGAGGAGGCCACAAGAAGACGAAGCAGAGAGATCTGCTGTTGGCCTTGAAGACTGGAATGACACGCCCTCAAGCGGAGGAATGCTGGCAGCCACCAGAAGGTGGAAGAGGCGAGGAACAGACCCCAGCCTCCTGAGGAAGAATATACTAGAATGACCCAGTGGAACTGATTTCTGACTTCTTGCCTCCACAATTGTGAGAGAATACATTTCTGTTGTTGAAGCCACCAGGTTTTCAGTAACTGGTTACGGAAGCCTCAGGTAACTAACACAGATGGAAAGCTTAAGATCACAATACAGCTGGAGTTGGCACTCACCACACAAACTCCACAGTTTTTATAAGTGCCTTATGGGTAGATCTTATCTATTTGTTAGTCAATTTAAAACATTTCAGAGGTATAGCAATGAAGCTAAAATTTATTTAGATTGAAATCATGAGAGACATGAGCATGTGGCTAAAATATGGAGGATTAGCAAATACCTCATAATAAAACAGATTATCAAAACTAGTAAAAAGTCAATTTATGGTTTACTGGAATGTCATGTACATATACTTGTAATAAATTTCATTACACAGTACAAAACACCATCCAAAGTTCACATAAAAATTCAGTCATGGAAATAAGACAATAGGAAAAACAGTCTAATTATCATAATTTTTGCCTTGTGGGCCATACAGCTTTGGCCAGCAGTGTCCCAGAGGTACAGACCATTAAAATGAGATGATTTGTCCATAAACAACCTCAATTAGTTTTGGCTCATGTTCCATGAAACGTAAACTTGAATTTCTGGGAGGCTTTAAAAAAGAAAAAGTAATGGTATAACTAATGAAACCAGTCTTCTCAGGGTCACTGCCACAGGGCTCTGACTTCAGTCCCGCGTGCTGTAGTTGTGGTGTATCTAGCTTGCAACACTGCCAATACTGAGCGATTGTAGCTTCATCCTAGGGACTGGGAAGGAAACGAGGGCAAAGAACCTGAGTTTCTGAGTGAGAAGTTCATACTCGTTGAACTCAAAATTTATTCTTTTGGGAAGGAACAGCACACGACTCGACTGGTTCCTTAACTAAAACGCTCATGTTAATGGACAAAATAGTCAGAAATTCTTTTCTGTGCATTATTTTCTAGGTTTATCAAAATTTCTTTCATGTGAAACCATTTTTCACCTATTACTTCTGCAGAAGAATGCCATATCTATATCACTCTGACATGAATTACCAATGCTTTTTTATTAGTGTCTCAGCAAAACTACCAATTGACTTGACCATAACGTACTTGAAGCTACTTGTGACCTCATGAATATTCAAGGTCATGCCTTCCCTTTGATGAATGCTTATTAGAGCTGATGCTTAGAATATGACCAATATGCTCAGTCAGTAGTACAACACGGAAAATGTGAAGGTCAAAACTCAGTGGTCGCCGCCCAAAAAAAAAGATTGGCAAGGGGGCAGGCCCTGTCGCCCAGTGGTTAAGTTTGCGCGCTCTGCTTCGGCGGCCCAGGATTTTACAGGTTCTGATCCTGGGCGTGGACATGGCACCGTGCATCAGGCCATGCTGAGGCAACATCCCACATGCCACAACTAGAAGGACCCACAACTAAGAATACACAACTATGTACTGGGGGGGCTTTGGAGAGAAGAAGAAGGAAAAAAGAAAGAAGACTGGCAACAGATGTTAGCTCAGGTGCCAATCTTTGAAAAAAAAAAACTCAGTCCGTTCTTGTTGAGAAGATTGTGTGTTGTTGTTTACTTGTTGCTATTTGCAGGAATGCCTTTCGAAACTCTGCTCAGCCTATGGAATGTCATTCTCCTGATGAAAGAACTTAAGATCAAAACTAAGCCCTATTTGTCTACCCTTCATCCCAAATTCCAGACCTGAACAGTTTACATACAAAAATCTGTTTAAAATTGAAATTTAGATTACATAAAGAATAGAAGGTTTTGTGAGCTTCTGACCAAAATCAGGTCCTGATTTTTTGAGGGGGGTGGGAGTAGAAGGGGAGAGTGTATTTTTACATAAACCATTCCTTACAACTTCATCTATTTCTTTGTCGCTGACAGCCTTGAATATCTGTTTCCAACAACTGAACTCAATCTCCATCAACAAAAAGAAGTTTCATTATTACAAGTGACTATTTCTGCCTAAAAGTGGCCACTCTCTCATTCTTTTTTGAGATGTTTCCATATAGAATAACATTGATCTCTAGCTCCCTGTTTAGGGTTTCACTCCTAGCCTGCCGCTAACCTACTGATTGTTCAAACGAGCTCACCGTGAAGAAATAAAGTAGAAATGCATCCATGTTGAGTCTCTCCTTCTGAGGTAACAGTTTGCTAGATTCCTCCTAATAAACTTCCAGCTCCATGCTCTCTCCTTGGTCACACTGAACTC